TGTACGATTGGGGCAATGCACAGGTGAATTAGGAGAGGGACTAAGACAAGTGAGGAGGCATTCTAATTAACATGGGTAAGACAGAAAGATGTCATATGGGTTAAGGGACCATCTATTCATTCATCTATGTGGTGATCTCTCGACAAGGTTCTTATGTAGCCTATTTAAAAGCGGAACAAACACACTTAAAGTGAGTAATCTGCGCAATTGAATGAATCTTCCACTTGTGAGACCGTATGCCGCCGCTTGCTTTCGTGAGAGAATGTGATGGGAATGGTCTCGTGAATGACGAACGAAGATGGCAATGATTCTGGTCGAGAGAAGAGGATAAGAGCATTTTATAGATTGGATTAAGTTTGATATTTGTTCAGATTTGCTATTCGATATGTTTACATTTACGCGGCTATCGCATTGTTCTATGCAAACGATCGAATTTCCTTTAATAAATCCATTTTGATGTTTTCTCCACTAATACAAAATAAACATGGCATTACTACCTGCAAACAGCCTTTTTTTAAGACTCGAGTCCCTTGCAGACGAATTTTACCTAATTTTCATTTATCAAAAAAATTGGTGGAAATTGGCCAAGAAATCCGTGATATTCAGTTAATACAATAACCTTGTAAAGTGGCAAGATTATTTGTGTTAGCTTCAAGAAATGGGCTTGTTGAAAACCAACTTAAGTTCACTTGCTCGGTATCATACCTACGGTACAACAACTTATCTTAATTGCCACTCATATTTCGAGCCGACTAGAAGGAAGGTTTACTTATACACTTCGTGGCTCACATTGATTTTAAAATTTGTCAACGAGTGAGAACGTAATCCTCAAAGCAGACACATATCTCCGATACTGCATGCAGACTAACTTTCCATTTGTTCACTGTTACCGTTACTCTGTTGAACATTGATATTTGCATTGTCAAATGAATCACGACTGAGTTTTCACAACAACAATACAACAACAGCATGAAATGAGAATGAAATTCATTGTGATCGATCACCGCTGGACGGATTTAGGCAAAAATAAACGAATGCATCGCTAACCTTGGATGGTGCAAACGTGCGGATCATCGCATTCGGTGGTACTGTTGTTAGCGAATCGCACGCTTGTATCAGTTGAACGCAATCATTTTTAGTGGAACTGCTTGCATCGCTATCGCTGTCAATTGTGCTCTGAATGCTTCGTCGAGTCAAGTCCATTGATGCTTCTTCACGCAAACACACTCATATGGTAGTCGCGTCAATCACCTTACGAGCTTCCCAGTCGGCCTTGAGCTCTTAAAAGTGCATCGATATGGCAATAGTCATTGTAAGGAACTCGAAACGATCATACTGTACACGGCGCTACGTAAAGTACAGATCAAATGGCGATCTCGAAACAGTGACGGTAAGGAATGATTTTTACGTATCAGTCAAATAGACGGAACTTAGTTCGGTTCGAAACCATCCAATTTTATTCGTTCTTTAAATCATCGGCTAGCTCTGACAAATTCTATCGTTTAATGGAATTTGAGACATTGACGAAAATCGAGAAATTCAATAATCGCCTTCAACATTATGATTTCTTTCCATAAATGAGCAATCGAATTTCATCCATTGTCATTCAC